ATGGCCGGAGAGAGAAGAGAGGAGGGAGGAAAGTTTTAAAATACCAAAAATATTCTTGCATTAATATTTTAATTCAAAATTGCCAAAATTATAAATTTCCTAATTTATCTATTGATTTTGGTTAATATTGGTTCTCACAGTTACCACAAACTAATTAGTTCTCATTTGATTAGGCCCCTATATATATTTGTATATATTCAAAGGTTATTTTGAGAAGTGGTAAATATTTGAGAAATAACGATTTGATCATAGAGCTCTTCATACGGTCAAGATCGACTTTGACTGGTCAAAAATTGCGGCTATGAAAAAAATAGAGGGCGTAGTTTCGTAACTTTTACAAATAAGCTGCAAATGGATTCATATATGAACCTATATGAGTCACATATGAACTATATGTTCATATGTGAACTCGTGTGGTTAACATATAAGCTATTTTAACTGATTCACATATGAACCTGTGTGATTCGCGCACGAACTAATTAACTAATTCATATATGAACCCTTATGATTCACATGAACAAATTAACTGATTCATATGTGAATCTGTGTGATTCACATATGAATAATTTAATTGATTCATACATCAACATGTGAGTTCATATATGAATCAGTTAAATAGTTCACATGTGAACTAATTCATGGGTTCACATATGAACATCACATGGGTTATGAACTTGTTTGCCAACTATTAGTAAAATTTATGAAACCACCCCTCTATCTTTCACATACCCATGCAAGGAATTATCCGGTGTTTCACGGTCAAATCCGCAAATGTTAACCAGATGAAGAGCTAGGATCACTTCGAGGGATCAAATGCGAATTAAGTCGTTTGTATAGACCGTATAAGTCTAATTCAACCAATCATAATTTTTCTTTTTCTTTTTTCACTTTTTCAATTACGAGGGTTAATTAGTCATTTTTATTGTGAAAGACGTTAAATATGGACATTATCATCTTCATTATATTAATTTTAGAAACAAATTTATCAAAATGAGAAATACATGAAACAATTTCATTTTCATATAGAAACAAAAATATATAAAACAATTTCATCAAGAAAAGAATTATATGAAATAATTTCATCATATTAAACAATTTAATGAAACAATTTTAATTAAATCAAACAATGAAATCGACGTCTATACAAATGGTTTGGTTTGCATTTGGTCCCTCCCTTGTATATATATATATATATATATATGTATGTATGTATGTATATACATATATATAGCCATAGGTTCAGTTGAGAAGTGGTAAGTATTTGAGAAGTAGAGAATTGGTCAAGATTTGCGAATTTAACTGTGAAACACCGGATAATTCATCGCATGGCATGCAAAAGATAGATGGGTAGTTTCAAACCTTTTACAAATATGCGGCAAAACAAGTGCATATGTGAACCCATGTGGTTCACATATGAACCCGTGTGATTGGCATATGAACCTGTGTTATTCATATATAAACCCGTGTGATTCAAGTATTGCAGTGATGAACTCGTGAGGAGTCAGGAACTGGGATCCTGATCATAAGGTGCTACTTGACAACGTTAACGAATAGCTCATTTTGTGTTTCGCCACAATCAATGGAAACGAGTCTCCCCATCATTGTAAGGTGTTGTTTTGGGTATTCAGTTCAGTTATATCCATGTTTTTGGTGACGTTTTTAATATGGAGTGTTATCCATAATTTGTGATTTTTGGTATTGAGTCTTACC